AGAGGACGGATTATTTATTTTCTGCACTGTTGAAGCAAGATTTTTCATTTTCATTCAAACAAGGGACTGGTTATTTATTTTCATAACTATATTAATAATATTTGAAAACATACAATTTTTAAATTCATGTTTTATTATAAATAATACATGTACAGTCAAGTCATTAATGTACCATTTTATCAGAATTTATCATCATCCTCTGCGGAAATGAATCTTCTGAATTCCAAACTGCATATACATGTATTGCATACATACACGGTATTAGAGTTAGGCTGTGACTAGCCTCTGTTAAAAGTATTGCCATATATATTCATGCCGAGCGGAGCGAGGCAAACAAATTTTGAAGGGTTTTGAAGCCGCTGAAGGCCCAAAGAAACTATAGAACAAATGATGCAAAATCGTGCTTTCTGGGCGTTCCCAGAACCTTTCTTATTCTGAAAGCGCAAGCTCTGTTTTTTGACAATATTTTGGTCTCAAAGCAAAATGTATAGATTCAGCGTAAGACTTAAGTTTTTATGGACAACATCAAAAGACCAATATGAAGAATAAAGTAAAAATGTAATTCACATAGTTAAGTATGTGGCTGCTGGTTTTTTTTTTTTTTGTTGTTGTTGTTGTTGTTTCGGCATGCAGAATTTAAATCTTTTATACCTGTAAATTATATGGGGTTTTATTCAAATTAAGTTAAGAGGGGGCTGATTGTCAGTGATATAACTATGTCAAGTAATTTTTAATAACACATTTCAATTACAACTTGATGTAGCTCTTAACAGGTATACAGTTTAAAGTAGTTAAGTTGTAAAATTAGCTAAAAAGTCTTAAATAAAATAAAACTCATGATCAAGCTGAAAACAAACTTACTAAATCACAAAAGGAATGCAACACTAAGAGAATACAGAAGGGCAATCAATGAACAAAAGACAAATTTAAAGAAACTTTGATCCTGAAAAAACAGGTGCTACGTCCAAGGGAGAACAGAACTTGCTTCTTGCAAGACACTTGCCGTGAAAACAATTTGATATGAAGACAAGCTTTTGGTTTTAAAATTTCCTACATAAAGGCATTTGCCTCAATGTACTTACAGCCCTGTAATAAAAGTGAGGTAAGTGTTCCTGAGCCAATATACCTCAGGTTAAATGAAACCCATTTTCAGACATTTCAAGTATATTTAAATAATATTTATACCTTTATTATTAAAAGATCTGGGAGGTGTTTCCCGAATTTTTTTTTTGAAAAAAGATGAATTTTATGAAGAATCTGGTGCCACCTCATACTTACGGATAGCATTTATAAAATGGCTCAAAGACCTGCCGAGTTATTCATTTTCAATACATTGTAAGTCAGGTTATTTATTTTCGAACTACCACAGAACAAACCATTTATTTTTGTGATTATCAAGGCTGAGTTATTTATTTTCTAGGTATTTCCCTGTTATATGAAATAACATTTTGAAGTTGTTTTCATTTCAATCTTAGGATGTACTTCACCAAATTTCGTAAGGAAAGTTGAGCCCTGTAATTTCCCCATTTGGATACTCACATGAATCATTTATTCCCCTACTATATGATGTATGACTTCGTGAACAACTACTTGTCTATTTGACAAAACTGTCTAGTGGACATAAAATAAATCATTCCATTTTGGGCTTGTGCACTGTATCTCCATCAGTTATGCTCAGGCGAAAAAATGGTTGCGCTGTAATCAAAGACCTAGACTTCATTAGAAATGTACAAAAACAAAAGGGCCCAAAAATATTTCCAAATAAAACATTATGCAACTTATCAATTATTTGGACAAAACTGTCTAGTGAACTTTCTGTTCGGTGTGAGCCAAGGCTCCGTGTTGAGGCCGTACTTTGACCTATAATGGTTTACTCTTGGATGGAGAGTTGTCTCATTGGCACTCATACCACATCTTCTTATATCTATAAAATAAAACGTTCCATTTTGGCTACATTCAAAGAGCATTTTTGGACTTATGCACTGTACAACATGTACTATATCCATCAGCAATGCTCAGGTCGAAAAACAAAGTTTGAGCAATCAAAGACCTAGAATTGCATACAACTTTTGATAAATTAAAGGGCCCAAAAATATTTCCAAATAAAATGCTCCGCGGGGCTCAGCTTGATACGACTGCAGAGGTCGAACCCTGAACAGTTGAGGCAAGTACGGACACTACAATCAAGCTTTAAACAGTTTAGCTCTGAATTTGAATTGTGATTAAATATTTCACACTTGGTGTTTGAATATTGCTACAAGTGGGGTACAGATTGATATGTATGGTAGTTGAGGTTAATTCTTAAAAACATTTAAAAATAAGATAACAGTTTCTCATTTGCATATCACCTTATAGATAAGACATAAATTATAAGCTAAAACATTGTAAGGGAGGTAGCTCTTAATGTAAAAAAAAACAAACAAATGAATCTGATCAAATATAAGCAATTCAGCACAACAAAAACCCCTACTATTCAAATTTTGTTGAAATCAAATAAAGTTTAATTTTGGACACTTTGGACCCTAATATGGACAAATTTGAAAAATGAGCCCAAAATCCAAAATCTAAATACATTATTGATTCAGCTTATTCAATCAAAGTATAGTTTTGCACCCTAATTTGGACCCATTTGAAAACACGACTCAAAATTAAAATTCTAAATATGCAGTAAGATTAAGCATATCAAAGAATCCCAATATTTCAAGTTTATTTAAACCCCATTGAAATTAGTCAGAAATAAGCAATTCAAACAAAGTTTAAAAAATTGCTTGTTTTTTACCCCTTTTTATCCCCTAATTCCTAAGCAGATACATATAAGGCCATAACCCCTAAATTCAATCCAATCTTCCTTTTGTTGTATGGAACCTTGTGGTACAATTTCATACATTTATACTCAAGTTATTGTCTGGAAACCAGAAAAATGTTTGCTTTTGGCCCCTTTTTGACTCACAGTTCTTTGCTGTAAATGTTTTCGGTTGTATAAAATTTGATTACTCTGCAAATGTCACATCTGGAGCATGACCTGAGATTGGTAGGTGTTTATGGCTTGGTTCGTGTTGCTAAGTCTTTTGTTTTCTATGTAGTGTTTTGTTGTGTTTATGGCTTGGTTTGTGTTGCTAAGTCTTTTGTTTTCTATGTAGTGTTTTGTTGTGTTTATGGCTTGGTTTGTGTTGCAAAGTCTTTTGTTTTCTATGTAGTGTTTTGTTGTGTTTATGGCTTGGTTTGTGTTGCAAAATCTTTTGTTTTCTGTGTAGTGTTTTGTTGTGTTTATGGCTCAGTTTGTGTTGCTAAGTCTTTTGTTTTCTATCTAGTGTTTTGTGGATTGTTGTCTTTTCATTGTTAAATCCACGGTTTTGTGGATTGTTGTCTTTTCATTGTTAAATCCACAGTTTTGTCTGTTTTCTCTTCCACTTATAAATTTTGAATGTTTTTTTTTTGTTCTAGGAAGTTGTGTATAACTGAATTTTTCAGATTTCTATAAATATGATTATTTTTATACTCTTTTAAGCATAATAAGATCTTATAGGACGGATGAACAGCACAAGCATTTGTATCTGAATTTTCTTTCTACCTATATACCTATATACTAAGGGTATACATAGGTAATTTGTTTTCAGAGACAAGTGCCTGTGATGAAAAGTCGTCTTTTTGATATAATTATCTTAATTCTTTTATACATATATTTGTTTCATTATGCAATTTGGTAAGGATATCAGATCTTTGATAGAGTTAAATTTGTTTAAATATCATATTGTATAGACCCTAGTCTGAATACTGGAAAACTGTACATACATGTATGTTGAACTCTAGATGTATTTTAATTAATTGAGTTGTTTGGTTGCTGCCATCTCAGATATCCTTTCTTTTACTTATTTTGTGTAATTCTCAGATTGTCAAAGTTGTGTCAACTGTATTCTGAGATATTCACTGAATAATGTGTAAATCTTTCTAAATGAGTATTTAAATAAAAGTTTAATTTTAAACAAAAAATATTGTGCATGTAGCTTTAATACTGATCTTGACCATTTGTCTGTGAATCGAAGAAATCCTCCCTTACAATGATACAAAACAGGTAAAAAGTTAACACAGCAAAAAGATTCCCACCAAAAACTCCAAAAAAACTTCAATAAATGTATATTTATAAGACAGTTGTCGTTGAAATAAAATTTTTGAGAAGACTTTGCTAAGGTGAAAAACTTTATCTAATCCATTTGTCCTTTTGAACAATAAAATATGTTGAAACTAACTTATAGAATAAATAACATGACAACAAAATCTTATATTGCATGATGATGATTATAGATTTTTTCTAACATTTCAAAGAGCCTAATTGACCAAGCCTACATGTCTTAACAAATTGAGGGTAATTAACCTGTGCAAAATGAGACAATCATTAAATCAGTAATCAGGTTGTATCACCTCATGTTTAGTGAGTCGACTTAAGCACTGGTCCCCTTGCCCGAGGCCAGTAGAATTTCGAGAGGGCTAGTTGAACATAAAGACTACTGGCCCCATTGGCCATTACATTTGACTATATTTTCACTTAGATAGTATTATAAGGGCTAATTTTATTTGTGTAGGACCAGTAAATTTACGCTCTAACTAGCCCTATTGGCCATACTTTTAAATTTTGTTAAGTCGATCGCTGAATGCCCAAAACCTGTGACTTAAAAACAGACATATTCATGAAACTACAAAAATACACGATTTTCCACTGTGAAAACCTTCCAAAGAAAGACAATTCTTCACATACATGTACATGGGAGATAACTCAAATTATTTGGTGAAAATAAATTAAAGAACCAAGGGTTAGTACATTACTATAATTTTAAAGTGTGTCAGTTCTGACCTATTGTTAAACTCATACAACAACTAGGTCAGATGGTTTTAAGAATTTGGTTACTGGTTAGCAACACTTTTAGATTGATTTTTTGTATTAAAATATCTCCTTTTTATTGATAAATGTAATCTGTAAAACAATAACAGATGAACACCACTATCTACAAAACTGTCAAAATAACAAATTTTAACATATAATTCTTTTCAATCAGATTGCTATAGATACACTCATGTAAATCTATGATTCCGAAACTTTTCTGATACAGAAAAATAAGTGGTCCTGCTAAAAATTCTCTCAAATCTAAACAAAAAAGTTGAAAAAACAAGTTGCTTTATAAATCAGTCTTTAGAGCTTCAGACTCATAATTGTTTTTTGCTTGTTTAATATATGCATTCAAATCAGTTTATTTTTTTCTAATGATTTGACACAATTATTATTATGTATGCTTATATGATAATTAAGACTAATCTATAGCTAATTATATAATATTTACAAGAAATAGAGCAATTTCATAGAAAATTTTCAAAAGATATATACAAAACTATATTAATATTCTGCTAAATCTTTTTACATATATAATATTAATAATCCAAACAACTCCCAATATTAAGATATTCAATCCTTAGTGTGTGTTCTTAAATGTCCTTTCAGAGTACTATTATGTTTAAAACATTTACCACACAAACTACATTTAAATCTTCTTTCACTATTATGTATTCTCATATGCATATTTAAAGTGCTATTCTGACCAAATCTTTTACCGCATTCAGCACATTTATAAGGTTTTTCACCAGTATGTACTATCATGTGCTTCTTCATGTCGCTACTCTGACAAAACCCCCTTCCGCATACATCACACGAAAATGGCTTATTGTCTGAGTGTCCATATTTCAAATGCCATTGCACATGAGACTTCCTTTTGAACTTTTTTCCACAGAGATTACACTCAAAAGGTTTTTCACCTGTATGCGTTCTTAGGTGTACTTCTAAGTAATTACGCTGCACCTCTTTCCCACACACTTCACATCTACATTTATAGGGCTTTTCATCGTGTATTTTCTTGTGCTTTTCCAAAATATCCACGCCCCGAAATCTTTGACTACAAACTTCACATTTGTATGGTCTTTCCTCTGTATGTATTTTCATATGCTTTTGTAAAATTTCAGGTTCACAGAAACATTTGCCACACATATCACATTTATAAGGTGTGATGATGGTGTGTTTGCTCATGTGCACCTGTAATGCCTCAACTCGACCGAAATCTTTACCGCATTCTCCACACTTATATGGTTTACTGTGTATTGACATGTGTCTTCTCATGCTTCCACAGCTACTAAACTCCTTGTCACACACTTCACACTTGTATTTTTTTAATTTGCCTTTCTCATTTGCCCCTTTTCTACCTGCAGTACTTTGATCTGATTCTTCACATTTACTTTCCTGGCTTAACTTTTCAATTATGTTTTTCACATATTCATAAGAATCTAGACTAATGTCTGTTTGTACAGGTCTTTTGCTATCTGTGTCTGTTTTAGATTGCAAAGGGTTGTCACCATGGTTACTTTCTTTAGTGTTTTTATTATCAAGCTCTTTTTTGCCTAAATCAGTTTTAGATCCTGACTGTTTACTACTGTTATAGATGAACATCTCCATGCCTTCACTGGATCCCAGTTTCTGATCCCTGTCTGTACTGATTCCTAATTTCTTCTTCTTGCCTGTACTGGTTCCCAATTTTTTATTTGTGTCCGTACTGGTTCCCAATTTTTTCTTTATGCCTGTACTGTTTCCTGATTTCCTTTTGGTGCCTGCACTGGTTCCTGGTTTCTTCTCCATGTCCTTTGAAAATGTCATCAGAGGTCAAACAAATATCCCTTCCATTATTCTAATAGTTGTTGAAAAGCAAAAATCTTTGATTTCCCTAAAAAACAAGTCTTCCACAATCTACATGTATATTCTTCTGGTGTCTATAAACCTGTAATCAAAGCAATGACATCCATTAAATCTAAATCAAGATTAGTTTCATTATCCGAAACAGGTATCACAAAGCCTCATGAAAATATACCATGTTAATTATTATTTCATTACTGTCTATTAAAATGTCACAATTAGAATTTAATTTTGATCTTTGAGAAGCATATATATCTCTTTACTAATAGTAGGTAATTAAAACATTCAGCGATTTTTAAAGAGTTAAATCCCTTTAATGTTCTGTACTCCCTTAACAAAATATGATCCGTCTGATGATGTGTCCCTCTTCATTTTGGTTTAGTTGCCCCCCCTTCCCCCTTTGTTCAATTTGGCACATTCTGCCACCTTTTTTATAAGTTCTTGATCCACCTCTACTAGGTGCAAAAGGACAAAGAACAAAGCATCATATGGTACAGTATAGTAAAACCAATTTGCTAAGAAAAGGGAGATAACCAAAGCTTTACATAGATGTCAACATTGCTGATAAATGTTGAACACTGAATTGTAATTTGAAGTTATTCTTTTATACCATACCTATAGATTTGTCTAAGTATTGATGGATTGTTGCTTGCTTAGTGTCCCGTGGCAAATATTTCATGCCTATTGATTATATCTTGTGTGTGTAAAGAAAAAAATAAAATTAAGTATTACAATAATTGAAGCTCAGTTTCTTTGTTTAATATTGTGCATAGATGTACAGATATACATTGTATATGTAATACAAGCTAGCAGATCAGATAAATACCTATTGTATACATTTGCACCTCCAATCGACATGACAAAATGAGATTACAAAATATTTTAATAGAACAAAGTTCTCATAATCTTATGTACATCAGGTAGAAGGGTCTATAAACATGATAAATTCTTCATATTTTTTTTAGATAGAGATTTCATTTTCGTATTGATTTAACTGTTTTTGTCATTTGTTTTTCTTCTATTCTTTATATTTTTTAGGACTCATTATTCTCTTGTCCATTTTGTGTAAAATGGGGGTGGTCTCAGAGTTGTGGATAGTAAAATGGGGGTTGTCTCAGAGTTGGTAAAATCACTCAAAAATAGGTGAGACATGCACAGTAGTGATAGATATGTAGTATAAATATAGAAAATTGAATATTTTAATCAATAAAAAAAAAATCACCCAAGCGCCTGTGATTTTCATGTATGCCATCAACTCCATTGGGGTATAATAGTGCATTATTTCAATTTTATCTGTTAACCCAATTCAGACCCTCATATGATACAACTAATCATCTTTTTTTGAAAATTAAAAATAACAGATGCATACTTCTAAATATTGGAATTTGTAGGAAGTATTATTGGTAGCAAGATAATTTTAGCAGATTACACCAAGTTGTGCTTTGATCAAGTCTCATGTTTTCTCCCTATGTTTTAATGAGTCTTGTTTGCTAGTAACATTGCTACCCATGATGCCAAAGTTCTGACTTCAATAGCCATGTTTTGTGACAGAATTGAATATTCTTACTCAACAAAAAGCACATCCATTCTTTTCAATTCTCAATTTCATTTCTGAACAAATGTCAAGCAACAATCACTTTTTTCAGTCAAATCTTTTAAATTGTGATGTCAAATTTTATGGGAACTTACAAGTGTTATTTAACGTATTAATGGCGGAAAAATTTGCATACAAGTGTACATACGTATATTGTGTATGGATAGTATGAGTGTCTGTATGAGTCCTAGTATGTATATAGTTGTATGTGCCTGTATGTAAGTATTGGTTTTCCTAGATCTTGAGTCTGCTTAAGTGTTAGTGTGTTAGATGGAATAGCAACAAAATGATATGATATCTTGTACATCATATAATTACCAATCTTGTTCGTAGCTAGTCCAAATAATTATGACGTCTTGAATGGCTATTTTAATTATTTGCTTGACGCCTTCCTACTTATTTGGACAAGTGTACTAAGCCTAGGTTCTGCTAGTGATGGTAATTTTTTTGTTTTAAAAATATTTGTAACACTACTTGCGGTACCTCGAATGACACCGTTATTATCCAAATAACACTTGTAATGACTGAATAACACTTGAAATTTTAATATTAGCACATATTGGTGACTTTTAAATCTTGATTAATAAATAATAGTATATTATTAATGTATTTTATAACTTAAAAATGATTTACAGAAAGCAGGTAATGTAATATCTTCGAATATTCCGGGAACGTTACGCACAAACATTTGGGACATTAACTTATTACGTTACGTCGCTACGGCGATGCCAATTGTATATTTCGTAGTCATTATTAAAATACCATCTGAATATTCAAGTCTTGCTCGGATCTTTCAGCATCCACAAACACCTGAGGGGCGAAGCAAAGGGCTACCACACAATTAAATTACTATCTGAACTATCAAGTCTTGCTCCGATCTTTCAGGTAAGTTCATAAAGATTATTTTAAATATAGTGTGTACATCAAACATGGCGACCAAGGAAATCACAATGGTCGCCATGTTGGATGACCAGGATGTACACACTAAATTTAAAACAATCTTTATGAACTTGCTTGCTTTCTGTTAATCATTTTTAAGTTATAAAATACACTTAAAATATAATATTATTTAACATGTTTAACAATCAATGTTTAAAAGTCACCAATATGTGCTAATATTAAAATTTCAAGTGTTATTCGGTCATTACAAGTGTTATTTGGATAATAACGGTGTTATTCGGTCATTCGTGTTACCCCACTACTTGTGTTGTGGTACAAATGTATCTGTTGCAGATATAGAGCAACTCATCGTTGGACAATCTCAATTTTAGATACCGATTCAGCATGTTCAGTTGTGTGACATCCCAACAATACAAGAAAATCCAATTTTATTTCGGAAGAGTGCTTGGTATGACTTGGTTTTTATATGTTGATATAATTTGGTTCTGTCTATTAGTTAACCGTTAAAACGAGGTAACCATCTAGGGTAGGTAATGCATATTCATGACTAAGCGATGATTGACAGATATTTAGATAAAAAAAAGATTCATAGTTCCGATCATAACCACATTCAAAGAAGGAAAACAAAGTAAGGGCAGATATAGATATACTAATAAAGAAGTAATAATTATAGTTAAAATCAATGGAAATACATCAATTTAAAATTAAAATAAGGATAAGCAGAGACATGTTACAAGAACTTTTTGAAAAATATTGCTCCGACGGGTGTGTCAAAATTAATCTGAAAAAGAAAAAAAATTGTGTTTTTGATAAAACTGTGAGACGTTTCTGTCGGCGCTTTGTTTAATTCAATCATTCTACTATGGAATGTGTGTCCAGTAACAAATATATGAATATACATTTTTTGGCATAAAGATTGATTGATTGTTTGTTCCAGTGACAAATATTTCATGCATGTTTAGGACGATCGGCATGAAGAATTTGTACGTTAACTAAAATGATCTATATAAAAGAATGCATTGAAAAGATATAAGAAATTAAGAACAAGAATTAAGTATAAATCCAGGAAAAGACTAGTCTACCGTGTATGATGTATTAGAGTTTCTTCTTTGTTATATTTAGTAAAATAGATTGAGGTAACCACCAGCATGAGGTTCTGTCTAATACGGACTTCCACATTCTGTATGTGCCTATCCCAAGTCAGGAGCCTGTAATTCAGTGGTTATCGTTTGTTGCTGTATATGTACCAGTAAATTCAGTCCGGTAGTAAAATTTGTAGACTTTTCTTCCTTGGTAATTAAGTCCGTGACCATAATTTAACTAGGAATGTAAGTCTATAGGAAAATAAGTCCATAGCTATTGAAATATGTCTGGCACTTATTTTCCTAGGAAAAGTTTTATATATCCGTATTCTCATTTTTTTTCTATGAAAAAGGTCCCTTTAAAATTAATCAATGTTAAAATTAAGAAAGGAACATTCGTAATTATATATATATGTACATCATAAAAGTCTGTGATATCAATTTTCCTAGGAAAAAAAGTCTGTTTAATTATCAAAAAAACCCATATTTTAATACAATAGTGAAATATTAACGCACAACTGTTAAACAATTTAAAAACATATACGAATTAAAAATTCAATTGTTTACATATAAACTATTTCTTTCATTACAAAATATCCCATAAAATAAGGGACATGGACGTTTTTACCTAGGAGCCCTGGACATGAATTCCTACTAGGAAAATTAGTCTTGGCACCTAAATTTTATTAAAAGATTAATGCATTTTACTAGTACCCTTCATATATCTATGCCTGATTTGGCTTTTTCTTTGGTTGAAGTTGAAGAGAAATTGAGATTTAAGCCATTGTATACATATATCAAAGATATCTCATTTTACATAAATTTGCATATCTCTGAAGCTAAAATTAGGTTTTTGGTGCTTGTTATACTTAGAAAATGCCTTTATATAACATTTCTTTCCTCAAAAAGTCATTTTAGAGCTGACAAATTGAATGGGTTAACGGGAAAAATTAGTTTGAGACTTCTTTAATCAAAATAAAATATTGGCTGAAAATATGCTCTTTTTGGTGTGTAGGGGTGGCCTATTGTTTCTAGCTATAAAATGCACAAAACAAAGACTTCGACATAAATAAATTGATTTTATTGAAGATAAATGATTTCTTTCAGCAAATAATATGGTTTTTCTTCTTTTCGAGATGATCATCAGGTCTCATAGGAATAGGATCCCAGTTACAGGATACCAGTCCAGTACCCACGAATGAAGTCCCTTAAAAAATCTACCATCTTTTAAATGGGATATTATACCGAGATGAAAATTATGTAAAGATTCTTGAATTTGTAGTATATCCAAAGGGTATTCATCAAACTTTCAAATTCTGTTTAAATTTAAATGATTCTGAAATGTATAGGGTGGATGATTGTCTGAGTAA